AATGCTTATTGAAGAACAGCCTGGTGTTGTATCCAGAAATAGGTCTATGAAGATGAAGAAGATCGAAACTCAAGATCCTGTTGAGAAGAAGGATGGAAAGAATGAAGAAAGGTAATGCCATGCTTATTGAAGATTGTTAAGACTTGGAACAATTCTTACTCGTAATGCTATGTTTATTGAAGAATTTTAAGATTCTTGATGCATATGAAGAGAAGAAGGTCGAAAATAGGAAGACTTTAGAAGCTTTGAAAAGATGTTTTCTCTCTAAAGGTCTAGGTTCGAGCAATTATGTTTGCAGGGTGTATGTACGTTATCAATTGATTAGAAAGTTCTACATATATATTATCTTATAATCATCCCAAATTATTTAAAAAAATTATCTTGAGTCAGCCAGCCTGTGAGCTACAATTTCAACATTTTAGATTAGTTATAACTATACTTTGACTAACCACTCCTTGTTTTGTTTATCTGGGGCTAGAAATCTAAAGGCAAGGTTAAGCTGAAACATAACACTAAGGATGTGTTTTGATAGAGGAATATTTTATTATTAAGGTTATGTGTAGTTGATGTAATATAAGATTATTGTTAAGTATATTGATAAAAGTGAATTTAGAAATCTTTTTTAGGGTGAACATATATATATTAATAATATTTTTTTGATAAAATAATTTCAGTGACCGAAAATATCTTATAATATACAATTTTAATCAACTTTTTTTGGATTTGCGAAAATGACCAACAAATTCGCAACGCGAACTCCAATTTCGCAACACAGGTTCTAAAATCGTAATGCGATTTTTCAAATTCGCAACACGAATATGTAAATCACAACGATAATATGTAAATCGCAACGCGGTTTTCCAAAATCGCAACGCCATTTTCCAAATTCGCAACGCGATTTTCGATTTTTCAAATTCGCAACGAGATTTTCAAATTCGCAACGCTAATTACTGATATAAGTAAACAGTATTATTGCAACGCAATTTACAAATTCGCAACGCTAATTACCGATATAGATAAACAGTACTATCGCAACACGATTTACAAATTCGCAACGCTTATTACCAATATAGGTAAATAGTACTATCGTAACGCGATTTACAAATTCGCAACGCTGATTACCGATATAGGTAAACAGTACTATCGCAACGCGATTTACAAATTCGCAACGCTAATTACCGATATAAGTAAACAGTACTATCGCAACGAGATTTATAAATTCGCAACGCTAATTATCGATATAGGTAAACAGTGTTGCGAAAATAAACGCGCTTTGCGAATTTGACTATCGCGTTGCGAATTTGACTTTTGTGTTGCGAATTTGACTATCGCGTTGCGAATTTGACTTTTGTGTTGCAAATTTGACTTCTGTGTTGCAAATTTGACTTCTGTGTTGCGATTTATAAATTCGCGTTGCGAATTTGTTGGTAATTACCGATATAGGTAAACAGTACTATCGCAACACGATTTACAAATTCGCAACGCTAATTATCGATATAGGTAAACAGTGTTGCGAAAATTTGTTGCGAAAATAAAAGCGCTTTGCGAATTTGATTATCACGTTGCGAATTTGACTTTTGTGTTGCGAATTTGACTTCTGTGTTGTAAATTTGACTTTTGTGTTGCGATTTACATATTCGCGTTGCGAATTTGACTTCTGTGTTGTAATTTACAAATTCGCGTTGCGAATTTGGAAGCTGAGTTGCGAAATTGGAGTTCGCGTTGCAAATTTGTTGGTCATTTTCGTAAATCCAAAAAAAGTTGGTTAAAATCGTATATTATAAGACATTTTCGATCACTGAGATTATTTTCTCTATTTTTTTTTTGTATGGGGTGGATCTAAATAAAATTTTGAGATAGGCATAAATGATAAAATAGACAAATAAATAATTATTTGATCTCATATTCTTAAAGATTTCTAATAAAAAATAATATGTAGAGCGTTGAAGTTGGAAAGGTAATTAAAGCATATCTTTTATCGGTAATGAAATTGAGTTCAAATAATAGCTGATGTTTTAATTTGATTGGGAGGTTTTATGGTGATTAAGATGTAAGTGTTAAGTATAATTATTACATGTAGGTTGATAAGTTAAATAAATATAATAAATAATAATAGATTTTATTATGATATATCACGTAAATCTATTAGAGATTTTGTATAGAGAAAATAATTAGTTTAGTTAATTATCAGGAAATTGTTTATGAAAGAAATCAGAAGAAGGTATTACAAATTTATTAAACACGTGAAAAAGCAGAAAATCTAGAGCAACCGACAATGTAATTTGAGGAAAAACAAGTTGGTTAAGAATGCGTTGGCACATTATTGTACTGAGAATTGGTTGATTGAGAGGAGTTGGAAGAGGATGTGTGATTAATGTCGTACACTTAAATTTAAAAATATGATTTTGGATGTTTATAATTTCATGTGCCTCCATGGATGTTGAAGTATCCACGTGATTGTTTAAGTTAGAGCGTGGGATGAATTCCGTGGATGATAATCCAAGCATATAATAATAATAATAAAAGTAAAAATCCATTGGCTCTTTGGCTCTCCTTTCAAATCATGAAGAGGCAAAGGCAAGGGCAACCTCAGCCTTTTGGTCCCCGTAAGGGGTGGTTGACGATGATTTGATAAAACTAACATCCTTTAATTGATTATCTTTTATTATAGTATTCTTTTATTTATATTTTCTGAAATAGCACCATTTATGTTGAGGTGACGGAAGGCGCATCTTCGGGGACGCGCTTTCCATGAATTTATGCTGACTCAGGTGACACGTGTGAAAGGCGCATTCCCGGGGACGCGCCTTCATGGATTTTTGCTGACTCAGGTGACACGGTGGTATGTTTTTATTAATAAAATTTTTATTTTTATTGTTATTATAAATTAGTAATATATTATGTAAATTGTTTCGGCTATAATTTAATAATTATCGAATAAATTTTTTTAATGTGTATTAAAGGTGTAGTGTATTATCCACATTAATCGGATAGAACAATAAATGAAAACTAATTTTTATTTTATTGTAGTTAAATGAAAAATGTATAAAATTATTATATTACACGTATGGTTATATTATTATTTTTTATTTTGATTATTAATCTATTAATTTTATCACTTAATTATTTAAATATTATCAATCTAGTCATTTGTTATTATTATTTAACTAAAATATTGATGCATAAGTTAATAAAATTAGTATAATTACACATTTAATCTGTTATTATTATTATAAATTGAGAAATTATAGTAAATAATTATTGATGATAATATCGCTAAAATGTCTGAAGATATGATCAGCATCCAATCGCAGCAGCATTTCACTTTCCATTATAACTGTAGACAAAAAAAATAATTAGCACAAAAAAATAATTAATTAATAAATTTAAATAAATAATAATTTATATAAATATTATTTTAATAAAAAAATAATATTTATATAATTATATTAATATAAAATATAATAACTATGTAAAAAAATACTTACTTAAAAATAAATTTCTTACCACTAATAAAAAATTTAAAACTCAAAGATTTGGAGAATTTGAATTATATAAGAGATAAGAAGATGATTTTGGTGTGAAGAATGAGAGGTTGAGGGGTTTATATAGGGGAGGAGGAGGAGGAGTTAGGAAAAAATCGGATGGACATTAAAGTCATTTAATGAAATGTGCGTCCCCATGGATGCGTCTTTCACACGTATCACTTGAGTCAGCATAAATTCATGGAAAGCGCATCTCCGGGGATGCTCTTTCCGCCACCTCAGCACAAAGGGTGTTATTTTTGGAAATATAAGTAAAATGATGTTATAATGGGAGATAGTCCGCATAATCATTCATCTACGTGTCACCTCATCCCGCCCGACCAATAAAAAAGAATCACTTCACCACCTGCTGCAACCGAATAAACCCTCTGCTACCATCGGATATGCTTATGCTTTACCCCATAATTCCTCTTCCAATTTAAGAAGGAAGAAAAAATCGGATCAATGTAAAATCCATGGAATGCAAGGATGGATCAAGGCATATTTAGGGATAACCATTCTTTAAAATTTTTGAATTATTATATATTTTTATCGATACATTAATTTACTTTTTTCTTTCTAAAATTTTATAATTTTTTTTAAATTTTAGAAATTCGTCCAGTAACAAAAAGAAATTATATATGTTCTTGATAGAATAGTTTTTTTTTGTGATACGCACAAATATTTTTTTAGACAAAATAATTATGATAGATGAGTTTTAGGAAGAATAATGAGCTAGAGACATAATCACGTTTAGCTCACAAAAGAAATTTCATGAAAAGAAATTTCTTTCTTTCAAGCCTACATAATGAGTTAGAGATAATAATCACATTTAGTATTGATGTTAGATTTAAGGTTATTATAATTACTCGTAAATTGATTAAATTAATAAATATAATTATTTGGGTAACTGATTTTGATTTAATAGATTATAGAATCTTATTAATGATTATGTTAAGGAATTATTATTATTCGATAATTCAAGACAATTCCACATTTTCTGAATACGTATGAAGTTCTTAAAAAATGTACAACAATAATCAATTTATAAGTCGATTGCTAAGTTCGGAGGATTTTAGCACAGTTAAACTCTAGCACTGTTATATAATTTTGTTTGATGTTAATAATCTATGCTTAACTCCACAAATTCATCTTTACTCGATATAAGACAATCTTATCTTTTATCTTGCTCCAATTAATAAATTTCAATAAAGTCAAATTAATATTTAATTATTTTATTCTCATCGTTACTAAAATTCTTAAAGAAATTATTGATTTTCTTAAGAAAAAAATCAGATGAAATTTGCTTTTTCATATATAAAAAATTAAATTATTATATATTAAAAAATTAAAAGCATGACATGAAACTCCTACTGCAAAGATCAAAGGCACAGCCTTATCTGATGCAAAAACAGCAATTTATCGGAATATTCGATGTAAAATTCCTCCATAAATATATTTTTATTTTTCCCCTAAAAAATAAAATAATATATATAATTTAAGTTCCTCGCATATCCCTATGTTCTTCCCAATCTCTCTATTTATATGAAACTAATCCAAACCAAAACCCCTTAACACAACAAACCAAATAAACCTGCGTTTGTACTATACAACTGCATTAATGGCTATTTCTGATAGAAGAATCAAACGAGTTACTGACCCGCTCGACGACCGAGTCAAGGCTCGACTCGTCGGCTTCAGTTTCGAAAGCAGCGGAAGCGAACACTCCGCCGCCGCCGTTGAAGACGATTCTCCTTGCCTCTCGGAGCTCGTTCACGGTTTTCTGGAAAACGACCACGATGCTGTAGAACAAACGGGTTACAACTTAGACTCCGACCGAGTCGACTCAAGCCTCGACATTACCTATTCGTTCCAGATCATCATCAAGTCAACCTCTCTTAGCAACACGGATCCTTACAGGAATCTGCTTATGGCTCACGTTTTGAGAGCAATGGAAATGCTTTCCTTTTTCAAAACGGATAAAGCTACTTTCAGGCGTAATGTAATGGCTTATCTCCGCCAGGTAGGCCAAAATGCGGCGATATGCAAGACCAAATGGGGCTCATCGGGAGGCCTAACCGCCGGAAACTACGAGTTCATCGACGTGGTGCAATCGACAACAGCTACGTCGCAAAACCGGTACTTCATCGATCTCGATTTCGCCTCCGAGTTCGAGATCGCAAGGCCGACAAGTGAGTACTCGAGTTTATTACAACATTTACCTAGGGTTTTCGTGGGAAAAGACGAGGAAATGAAAAGGATCGTCAAGGTGATGAGTGACTCGGTAAAAAAATCGTTAAAGATCAAAGAACTAACTCTCCCTCCTTGGAGAAAAAACCGTTACATGCAGAACAAATGGTTCGGTCCGTACAATCGCACGACGAACCAAATCCCGACGGCGAAGCCCAGCACATTAACGATCCATCCTGCCAACATCGTCCAATGCCGTTACGTGGGGTTCGACGACGGCCGTGAACGCCGTGTTTACCACGTAATCTGAAAATTCAACAGAAGAGATCCTGACCGTCAACTTTTTATAGAGATAAGCGTCACCTGATAATTTCAACACGTGTTGGAGTGAGTTGGCATTTGTAAATTTGGACGCGACGCAGCGGAGGGTGTTGTCTTTTAGCTAAATTTTAAAATAATAAATCACATATGTTTATGATATATTTTGGTAAACTATCGTCAATTTGTTTCAATTTTTATTAAATTTAAAAATATAATATTTAATTATTTTTATTTATTAAAAATATTATCATTAAAAATTAAATTTCTTTAGATTTTTAACGGAATGTTGACTAGGTATAACGAATATATAAAATTTAAAAACGTAAAATACACAAATAGTTATAATATTTAAATAATTTTTTATTTTTCCTATTAAAATTTTAAAAATAACAAATTAATTGAGATCATTCTACGATGTATATTGAAATGATACGAATCCCACCTTATACGCATGATCGATCCAAGACGACGCAGTAAGTTCAAGGATCCCATATGTCAAAATTCCAAATCACTGCATTACAAGCACAACAGAGATAAACGCTCCATGAATCTTCTTGTTTGCATATTCGGACATGATGGTAGCCGACAAGGGATAGTCACCACCAGTTCCGAACCCGAGCCAAAACCTGAAGAAACAAAGCGTTGCCATAACACCGATCAGAGACTTTCCGGAGGAAAGTCCAGAGGCAATGGAGCATATCACCATGAACATCAGGGTGAGTCCGTAAACCTTTTTTTTTACTTAATTTATCAATTATCATCAAGCCAGCCAAAGAAAATCTGGCCAGCTAAAGTTCCAACAAAGGCTGTACCATAACGCCAGTTGCTACATTAGGAGGCAAAGTTCAAGGCTTCGGGGGCCCTTCAACATGACAGTAAATATATCCAAGCAATTTAATGATAAGAGAGATGCTAAATGAGTCATATCAACCACTTTAAAATGCATGCAAATATTTTTTAGATAATCTCAATTATATTACTAAAGAAGCAGAAGTTTAATATAAAGTTACAAAATAAGTGAAACCACTAACAAAAAATTTAGAAAATGCATGCAACTTTATTTTCTTTTACTTGATAAAATTTTTTAATATGATATTCATGTCTGCAGCTAGTAACCTAAAAGAAAAATAAGGTTAAAAAAGTTTGTCCCTCCATTTAATAGTGTAGAGGGTGTGAAAAAAACTAGATAAGGTGTACAACATGAAATGTGTAAATTAGGGCAACAAAATATTCTGGTTTTGGAGGAGTGGGGGCAGAGGTGTAATAATGAGGGGACATGAGTGAAAAAGAAAGATGGTGAAATGGATAAGTTATTCTATTTGTTTATTGGGGATTAGGGTGAAGTGGGTGGCCACTTTTAAGCTGGCATGATTTTTGCTTCTTCTTTCTTAACCTTCTTCTGTGGGTACCGACTCCTATTGCCCTTAGCTTCAACTTTCTCAATCTTATCCCTACTTCAAATGTTTTATTATAAAATATAGGGTAAACTACATAAATGGTCACTAAACTTTTAAGATACTTACATTTTATTTATTCAACTTTTAAAACTTGTAATACATTCATTAAACTTAAGTACCATGACGTTACCTCCGCTTAGTTTTATCTGACGTGGCACATTACTGATATTTTTCATCTTAATAAAATAATTCTTTTAACCCATTTAAACACCCTAAAAAATTTCCTTGCCTAAAATTAACTGAAAACCCTAAAAACAAATTTCCCTTTCTATTATTCTATTTATTTGACCAACAATCAAAGCTAGCAATGGAGACATCAACAGCATTCCCAACATGTTTTTGTGTAATGTCAGCTACCTTACGCACAACTTGGACGAATAATAATGCGGGAAGAAGATTCTTTAGGTGCTTTAATCATGGGCATGTATTTAGAAGAAATTGTGATTTTTTACTTGATATGATCCCTCATTGAATCTACGTTCATGTATTGTTATCGTTGGTTTGCTAAGGGAAATGAGAGACATGGAAAGGGAAAGAAGGTTTGAGCGAGTGATTTTGGTGATTTGTTTGGGGATTTTGTTGTACCTTATTAACTTGGGTTAAGAAAAGGATATTTTATGATTTAGGGATTTTTTTTTTGCTTATGTTTGTTGTTGCTTAAGTTCATTTTGGTAAGTTGGAATTTGAACATGAATTTGAAATTTAAAGTTTCGCATGTAAAATGAGGTGTTTATGAACATGAATTATCAAACAAAGAGAATAAGAGAAAGAGAATTTTTATTTTTAGTGTTTTTAGTCAAGTTTGGGTGAGGAAATATTTTTAGGGTGTTGAAATGGGTTAAAAAGATTATTTTATTAAGATAAAAAAATAACAGTAATGTGTCACGTCAAATGAAAATAATGGGGTAACGTCAAAGACTTTACTGATAACGAACTAAAAATTAAGTGATTGTATTACAAGCTTTAAAAGTTGAGTGATCATAATGCAAGTGTCATAAAAGTTCAGTGATCATTTATATAGTTTACCCTAAAATTTATTTAAAATTAATATAAAATTCACAGTCTTAAATATAAACTAAACATGTATTTAAAATAGAGAAAATAACCTCAGTGACCAAAAATCCCATATAATATACGATTTTAACCAACTTTTTCCGGATTTGCCAAAATGACCAACAAAACCGCAATGCGATCGCTAATTCGCAACGCGATCTCCATTATCGCAAATCAGTTTCCAGATTCGCAACGCGATTATGACTATCGCAATGCGATTTTACAATTTCGCGTTGCGATTTTCCCAATTCGCAATGCGAATAAGTAAATCGCAATGCGAATTTGGAAAATCGCAATGCGATACTGACTATCGCAACGCGATAATACAAAATCGTAACGCGATACTGACTTTCGCAACGCGATACTGACTTTCGCAACGCGATTCTGACTTTCACAACGAGATTCTGAAAATCGCAATCATCTTCAAAATCCCAATCACAACCGGCTTCACCTTTTGGGACTGTTAACTTAGGTGATTTTTAAATGCAAACGTTGTATTATGTGTATTTTATATGTGCACTTTTAACATTTTCAGTTAGGCATGTATTAGTAACTTGAGTTTGAACATTACTATGATATGTTCAGTTGTTATCACTTATTAGACATTCATTTGACTATCACAACGGGGAAATCGCAACGCGAAAATGGCTATCGCAACGAGAAAATCGCAATGCGAAATAAAAATCGCATTGCGATTTTGTCGTTGCAATTTTTATTTCGCATTGCGATTTTCATTTCGCATTGCGTTTCTCTCGTTGCGATAGTCAGTTTCGTGTTACGATAGTCTGTTTTGCCTTCAACATAATGTAGATTGAAAATCAACAAATCAACTATTACATTTCAATCAATTAAACAAGCACAAATAAGAATTATGTACACATCAATTAAACAAATCAACATTTATAAATCATTTTTTACAAATAAATTAAACAATCAAAAAATAATAATAATTCTTATTTTCTCATCAATTATTGAATCAATGAATCAACTTTTGCACCCGTACATCCATTTCACGCAGCTCACTTAAGGATTAACCTGCAGAAACCAAACATTTGCTCAAACAAGACTTCCTACACATCTAAAACCTACAAACAGCAAATTATTGAATTCTAGGTACTTAACCAAACATTTTCAAACCAAAAAGAGTATATATGTTAACAAAACTTGCATTTGACTTACCAATTAACAATGTATACTTTCATAACGCGGATGCAGGTAGGCAGTGTCTCGAATATATCGCTCTAGCCATATAATGCCGAAACCACAAGCCTACTGCAGCTCTATCTCTATCGGTGGGAGGTAGAAACTCTGTGCTGTCGTCAAACGCGCCAAGCACATGCATACGAGAGGACCACAATCCCCTCTGGCTCCCGGTGATTGTTGTGGCGCGGTCTCGTCTCTGACAACTGTGACATTGAACTTCTTTGGCTTCTTGTGTCCAGAATGAGTCCAATAATTAATCTCATCCAAGAATTTAGCCAAATGAGAGCTCCATCCCTTGATAATATCTCTCAAATCAGACAGTGATATGTAATTTATCATGCTGTCATATACTATTATCTTCAGGGATGGGAGCTGAAGTTGGACGAGAAGCCAATGACGACGTTCCAAAATAGGGATAAACACCTACAATCATAAGTAATAATTCATTTATTTGCGCACTTATTTATAAACACCTTTAAAAAATTTAAAAAATAAACACTAACCTTATCGACCTCCCACCATGCAGGATAAAGTTTAGCTTGTCCATTGCCCAACGAAAATGATTCATCTCGTTGATTCTTCAAGTGAACTGCGTGAAAAGCCGCCGGCATTATTGTATATCACGAATTTTTTTTATTTTTCCTAAGCTTCCTTATTATTAGAAGACGTGACACCCACGCATCGATATGTTGTTTTACAAAAAAAGACATATATTAGTGAATTACATTAATTTTTAAAACAATTAATCAAAATCATATATAAGACAAATATAAGACTTACCTCCCCATCGAAATAGCCACTGTCTTCAACCCCTAATAACACACCCCACCAAGACCGATTAAGCAGCAAATACATCTCATCGTTGAGTTTGCGTATGTCAGTGTAACACCCTTGGCTCCGCTCATGTAGATAAAAATCAACTGCGGTCTTAGCCCAAAGGGTATTATCCATAATTGTTTCCGGTAGTTGTCTCCTCTCCACTTCAGATACCAGAAGGGTACTAGTCGATAACTCATATGAGAGCCAACTCTCATTCATCATGTCCGGCAACGGTGGGGGTTTCTCAATAATTCGATATATTACCCCATGTGAATCGGGCTCTGGAATGGTGGGAGGGACCTCTTCAACGATGACAGTGGCCTCTTGAACGGTGGGGGGGGGGGGACTCTTGAGGGATGATAGGGGCCTCTTGAACGATTGGAGGGGACTCTTGAGGGATGACAGGTGAGTCGGGCTTCTTCTTGCGGAGTCTTCGCACCATTGGGGTGAACGGAGACGTAATAGCACGTGCACGCCGTCTGATGCGTGAACTCCGTCGTGGAAGGAAAACCCGACGTAAAACATCCACCTTATCGGGCCGCTAAAAAAAATTAATACATAAATCAGTAAATAAACAGACATGAT